GTGTTAAAAAATTCAAGTCATTTAGACCAATTTAGAAAATGTTATTCCCACCTTTTTTTTTATTATGCTATAAAACTCCTATTAGGATTATTAGGCAGCATGCACGTTGCTGTGCATACTAACATTGTATTAATAACTTGAAGAATATTTAATATTATTTAATATTAAATATTTAATATATTATTTAATATTAAATATTATTTAATTTTAAAACATATTAAATTGTTCGTATACCTTTTAAAACGTAGTAACTATTTTGGAACTAAACTAAATGACTTGAAATTTTCGTAGATGGAGGGACTAGTCTACTAGACTTTTTTTAAAAATTTTGTTATTAAATAGATTGAAAAGAACAATCACAGACAAACTCTTTTGCAACAGCTCCCGAAATTTGTATCGCATTCGGCGATCAAAAAATCGATGCGAGTTGAACGTTTCGAATGGGCGCAGAGCGTCGCGACGTCGCGGAAGACGTCCTCGCGTCCCGGTGACTTTCACCCGACATCCATAATTAAATCGCACAGCGTCGGTGGGGTGCGAGGGGGATGACGAGTCGAAAGTTCCGCGTCCACGGCTGGTGAATGACACCATGCATCAAGCGGGGAAGACGTCTTTATTGTTGCTCCGGGTCGTTATAGGCCTAGCCGCGCTCGCGGAGTCGCCTACGGAGCTCCGCAGGTCTCGGTTACGTAACCGCAACAGGTGTGTCCCCGGCCCCACGTGTTGCCGCCGCGTTTCTCGGGACCTGAACGCGGAATCGTTCCGCGTCGTGAGACGACTGCGTTATTTTTCCCGGGATCGGCCGCGGCGTTGCGAAATTTCATCGGGCATTGTTGGTCTGTCTCGCGAGCCGCACCGCGCCGCCTCTACCCGCGTATTAATAACGCGACAATCTCGTCGCGTTTTATGGTCCAGGGGTTCTCAAACCGACATACGGCCACGCCGGGATTCCGTTGCTCGCCGGCGTCGGTTCTTTCGTTTCTCGTTATTCGGTGTTTTTGTTGCAGACGCGTACAGCGAGCCATGAAAGTATTCGAACGCTTTTTAAAATGGAACAGCTTTTTTTTATAAGCGGGCCTGGCGATCTAAATATTTTGTGGACGTTAGAGGGACTGGTTTACCGAACAATGGATAAGAAATTTTTGTCGAAAATTGTAATTAATTGAAACGACAAGGAGAAATAAGATACTAATAAGTGCATAAAGTCCGCTGTCTAATTGCATCTGTGCAAAAGTGCAGTGCGAGATCTGATTTTGTTAGATTTTGGAACATTGGACACAGATGATGCAAATATTCCTTCGTTCATACATAATAAATACATGAAATTTTAGAATCGCGGGTTGAAAGTAAATGTCTTAAACAAATTATTAGCGACTAATGAACTCCTTGCACTACGACCTTGATCTCGATCTTATATCGATTAGCACTTTCAAATCACCTTAATAACATTCCCGATACGACGAGACAATTTTTATTTCTCGTATGTCTCAATTTACTTTCATTTTTAGACCTCGATAGCAGAAATATCAAATTTTGTCTCAATTTAGAAAAATTGAATAACATTCATATTTTGTAAATTGTGTATGAAATCTTCGTCGTTGTAGTAGAAGTGGTTGAGCAGTGACAACAACGATTACGGTAAACAACAGAAACTAGTAAAAACGTAACTACGGTAATTTGTAATCGCAACTACAGGGCTGTCACTAGTAGGAACCGTTCTTTGGGACCAAACGGTACGAGAGCGGAGAGCAAAATACAGTAAATTCTCCCTAATCGACGCTTAGATTGTACACAAAAATGGAGAATTTGGGAAGAGAAGATACGATTATACATTATTTTTGTATTATTTTAGATTATTAGCGATTGTCAAAAATTATAAAAAAGAGCCGCGAGGCTCCTCTTCCCAAATTGTCCATTTGAGCGTCAATTAATGAGAATTTATAGTTGCACAAGACCACGCGAAACAATTAACACTAGAACTACCGAGCCCAAAACGCTTGAGCGATTTCTATTATAATATATGCTTCGATAAAAAAAGTACAGTAAATTCTCTCGAATTGTCGCTCAGCCAAGATGGACAATTATAGAAGACAAGATGCGATTGTTCGAGCCTCGCGGCTCGTTTCTATCATTATCGACAATCGCCGACTACAAAAAACGAGCCGCGAGGCTCGAATAATCGCATCTCCTCTCTCCAAATGGTCCATTTTCATTTACAAGCCGATCGACAATTGAAGAGAATTTACCGTATATCTAAAAATTGCTCACAGAAACGTCTTAATAATACAGTAAATTATACAAAAATGGACAATTTCATTTCCAAATGGACAATTTCACTTTCAAGCCGATCGGCAATTGGTGAGAATTTACCGTATATCTAAAAATTGCTCACAGAAACGTCTTAATAATACAGTAAATTATACAAAAAATGGACAATTTCATTTCCAAGCCGATCGACAATTGGAGAGAATTTACCGTATATCTAAAAATTGCTCACAGAAACGTCTTAATAATACAGTAATTATACAAAAATGGACAATTTCATTTCCAAGCCGATCGACAATTGGAGAGAATTTACGGTATATCTAAAAATTGCTCACAGAAACGTCTTAACAATACAATAAATTATACAAAAATAACAATTTCATTTCATTTCAAAACATCTTAATAATACAGTGAATTATACAAAAAATGAACAATTTGGGAATTTTGTTTCAAGCTGAGCGTCAATTAGGGAGAATTTACCGTACCAGGAATCATAAAAAAAAAAATAAAAACCAATCATTTCGCCTAGCTTAATAGTTCCAGTGTTAAAGAGCAAAGCAATCCACCGCGCAGCGACCGAACGGCGAGGAAGCAAAAACTGCAAGATCGATTAAGCATCGGCTCGTTTGCAACGATTGCACAATGTCGCCGGACCGTCCTGTTTCCGGAAACGTTTGTTCCCCGGGCGATCGCAGCTGGATCGTGATTTACGCGGCGCGCGCTTCCTCGTCGATATTGTTTCCCCGCGAAGGTGATCGTTTCCGCGAATCGTAGCCGCGCCGCGATTCCGCGTGCACGAAGGTGTTCTCGGTTGACGAAGAAACGCGCCCGGTGTAAATGAATTAGATCAGACCGGGCTGGTTTTATTCTTAGCCGTTCCCGCGGATGACTGTGCTCTGACGCAAGACTTCCTGGACATCATCGATACCCGATCGGGGAGATAATGGCTGGAACACGCGCGACGGATTCTTTCGCCTAGCCGGCTTGACTCAGTTTTCGCGCGCGGAACGAAGGTCGCGGCGGCGATTCGATCGCGATAAATACGATACGGAGGGATCGCGAGCGCGCGGGAGAACGATCGCTCGATCCTCCTCCGGCGCGGCGATCCGCTGCGCGCGGAAAATCTGGATCGACGGGAAGAAACGTCAGCGGCCGTCCGAGCTCACCAGTTCTATCGTTTTAGGGGTACTACAATCAGTTTATTATTAGACTCGCGCAGATGGCACATGCGATGACTCAGCCGTGTAAGTGCCGCCCGATGATAAGTGCGTTCAGCCAGGAAGATAGCGTCGGAACCGGCACTTCTAAGTCAAGCACTTGTATCTACGCGATGGCTCTTCAGAATCGGCAAAAATACGGAGAGATAAGTCGGCAAAAGTACGCGGACGAAGTGCGGGTCTCTGTATCGAGTGCGACGCGCGTGTTGGCACACGAGCGCCGAATAAAAGCGTACCCCGCAGACTGTATTGACACAGTAATCGAGCTCTCGCGGTAGGTGAGTACTTGAGCCTTCGCTAGGGCGAAACGCGTTCCCCGCGGCTTCGGGTACGACCGGGTCTCTGAATCTGAGTTATACTGAATCGGTGCCGAAATTTCGAAGGCGTTCGGTTCAGCAAATTTTGTGACATCGTGGTCATCGTTTTGTTAAACGTACTTTCGAGAGAAACGGGTTTAACTCATTAGAGGCGTAACTGGGTTAAATTTGTCACAGGAGTAAGCAAATGATATTAACACTAGATTTACGAAGCACGAAACAAACAGCTGTTTTATATTAGTTTATAAAGGTAACAATAAGACATTTATTCTGATTTTTATCAAGTGTTACTGAAACATTTGGCGTAAGTGTAAATTGGGTAAATAACTAATAAATGTGTCTTTACGATGTGAATAATCGTAAATTAAACAATTAGTGTCCCGTCGTTTTGACGAGTTCCGTAAATCTAGTGTTAAGGAGACTGTTTGAGTTTCTGTTCCGATTTTTGAATAAAGTTTTATAAAGATTTTAAGACATGTTTTCAATTTTGTGCGAATTTTAAAACACTATAGCTTAATATAAAAGTGATACAGTTTTAAACAAATATACTCCGAAGCCGTGATTTTTAATATTCTGGATGCGCGTATTTTTGACTCCGTAGTGACATACTGTGTTACAATAAATGATGCGCCATTTACTGACTTAAAGTTTTGTCCAGTTTAACCAATGATCATTACGTGCAGGATGTCCCCCTCATCTCACCCCCTCAACCTTTCTTAATTTCAGAGATTCAGACAGAAGCCGTATTTTTTAATCTGTTTTCTTTAAAAAAATGCGAAAATAGTCGATTTTTTCAAAGATTGACACTAGAACACACCATCAAGATATTTTAAAATAATCCATGCAAAACAGCGTCAATCTTGCATTCATCGTTAGCCAAAATTCCTTTGGACACCCCTTTCACAACACAAATGAAAACAATTTTAATCTCAACTGAATAAAATAAGAAAATAAAATAAAATAGCAGTATAAAAAGACCTTCCATCGAAGCTCCAGAGGGAGCAGCAGCTAGCATAACTCCACTAGAACAACCCTAACTAGAAACGCCCTTAAAACAGTGTGCATTTCGGCAGTGTGCAACGACCAGAAAATCTAGCGTCGAACGCGTGAGCCTTATCCGACGTAGATTTTCTGTAAATTCTCGTCGAATAGTCGTCGCCAATGATTTGTGCAAGATCGTGAGAGAGATTTTGAATTTCAGGTGAACGGGAGGGAGGCGGTGCTGACCGGTGGCGGCGGCGGCCATGCGCCCCGGCCCGCCAGTACAGCCGAGCCGCCGCAGGCCTCCCCGTCGCCAGGAACCCCATCAGGAACGCAACCGACGGCACCGGCAAGACCAACAGCAACCGGTGCACCCGCGGCCGCACGGCAGCAGCTCGCGGGCCCTGCTGGTGTTGCTGCTGCTGGCCAGCAGCCCTCTGGTCCTGGGCCTGGCCGAACCGCCAGGGTCACCCGGGGCCGGACAGCAGGCGCTCTCCAGAGAGACCTACCCGAAGTCGGGCACCCAGCTAAGGAAACATCAGAACCTCACCATTGGATACCTCACGGCGATCAAGGGCGGCCTCAAGGACCGCCAGGGTCTCGCCATATCCGGCGCCTTCTCCATGGCCCTTGACGAGGTGAGTTCTCTTGTCGACCGATTTTATGGAACTAAGGGTGTCTCAAAAATGTCTCGCAATCCAAAAGTGGCGGGTTCCTCGGGTCATTTGAAGCAACTTTTTCCTTTGCAAAAATTTTCTCCGAGGCACCGTTAACGAGTTATTAACGAAAAACAGTGACCAATGAGAGGCGAGCTCAGCTGGCGCGAGGCGACCGAGCCAATGAGCGGAACTGGGCTTCGTGCGCTGGTTGGCTGAGCCGTCTCGCGTCAGCCGTACTCGATTCTTATTGGTCACTGTTTTTCGTTAATAACTCGTTAACGGTGCCTCGGAGAAAATTTTTGTAAAGGGAGAAGTTGCTTCAAATGATCCGAGGAACCCGCCATTTTCGGATTGCGAGACATTTTTGGGACACCCTGTAGANTTTATAAAGATTTTAAGACATGTTTTCAATTTTGTGCGAATTTTAAAACACTATAGCTTAATATAAAAGTGATACAGTTTTAAACAAATATACTCCGAAGCCGTGATTTTTAATATTCTGGATGCGCGTATTTTTGACTCCGTAGTGACATACTGTGTTACAATAAATGATGCGCCATTTACTGACTTAAAGTTTTGTCCAGTTTAACCAATGATCATTACGTGCAGGATGTCCCCCTCATCTCACCCCCTCAACCTTTCTTAATTTCAGAGATTCAGACAGAAGCCGTATTTTTTAATCTGTTTTCTTTAAAAAAATGCGAAAATAGTCGATTTTTTCAAAGATTGACACTAGAACACACCATCAAGATATTTTAAAATAATCCATGCAAAACAGCGTCAATCTTGCATTCATCGTTAGCCAAAATTCCTTTGGACACCCCTTTCACAACACAAATGAAAACAATTTTAATCTCAACTGAATAAAATAAGAAAATAAAATAAAATAGCAGTATAAAAAGACCTTCCATCGAAGCTCCAGAGGGAGCAGCAGCTAGCATAACTCCACTAGAACAACCCTAACTAGAAACGCCCTTAAAACAGTGTGCATTTCGGCAGTGTGCAACGACCAGAAAATCTAGCGTCGAACGCGTGAGCCTTATCCGACGTAGATTTTCTGTAAATTCTCGTCGAATAGTCGTCGCCAATGATTTGTGCAAGATCGTGAGAGAGATTTTGAATTTCAGGTGAACGGGAGGGAGGCGGTGCTGACCGGTGGCGGCGGCGGCCATGCGCCCCGGCCCGCCAGTACAGCCGAGCCGCCGCAGGCCTCCCCGTCGCCAGGAACCCCATCAGGAACGCAACCGACGGCACCGGCAAGACCAACAGCAACCGGTGCACCCGCGGCCGCACGGCAGCAGCTCGCGGGCCCTGCTGGTGTTGCTGCTGCTGGCCAGCAGCCCTCTGGTCCTGGGCCTGGCCGAACCGCCAGGGTCACCCGGGGCCGGACAGCAGGCGCTCTCCAGAGAGACCTACCCGAAGTCGGGCACCCAGCTAAGGAAACATCAGAACCTCACCATTGGATACCTCACGGCGATCAAGGGCGGCCTCAAGGACCGCCAGGGTCTCGCCATATCCGGCGCCTTCTCCATGGCCCTTGACGAGGTGAGTTCTCTTGTCGACCGATTTTATGGAACTAAGGGTGTCTCAAAAATGTCTCGCAATCCAAAAGTGGCGGGTTCCTCGGGTCATTTGAAGCAACTTTTTCCTTTGCAAAAATTTTCTCCGAGGCACCGTTAACGAGTTATTAACGAAAAACAGTGACCAATGAGAGGCGAGCTCAGCTGGCGCGAGGCGACCGAGCCAATGAGCGGAACTGGGCTTCGTGCGCTGGTTGGCTGAGCCGTCTCGCGTCAGCCGTACTCGATTCTTATTGGTCACTGTTTTTCGTTAATAACTCGTTAACGGTGCCTCGGAGAAAATTTTTGTAAAGGGAGAAGTTGCTTCAAATGATCCGAGGAACCCGCCATTTTCGGATTGCGAGACATTTTTGGGACACCCTGTAGACTGACGAATTTTATGCGTTTGTAATATATGAATTTCTGTAGAACGCAGGAAGAGGGAGTTTTAACCCTTTGCTCTAGAAGCCGTCTTGAATCTAAACGCGAAATTGTTCTGACTCATGGTATTTTCATGCTGTGTGACTTTTAGAATATTTTAGGAATATGGAATTGAGTCTTGCGATTCGTATGACAGTTTTTTTTAAAGATAATTGAATTCGTGAATTTGATAATCGAATTTTATGAACCGTCGCTCGAATAGAAAGGGTTAAACCTTGAAGCGTTTACTAAAATGAGAAATTATAGTGGAAGAAATGGATTTATATTATATTCGTGTTATAAATTGTATGATTGTGCTATACAGATGTAAATTATGGGAGATCGAAGCTTTCATAGAGACCACGGATTAAAGAACGTGGCTCTCGCTCGTACCAATTAAGCACTTAAAGAGACAGCGAAAGTTAGTCGGAAACGCGGAATCTTTTAGTCGATGCAGAAAACATTTCTCGTAATCAGAGTCGAAGAAACTGTATCAGACCAAAGTTATAAACAAGTGCACAACATGCGGACTATTCCGCAATCGACGATACGTTGTTGACACATCGGAGTACAGTAAATCTCTCCAATTGTCCCTCAGCTTGTAAACAATCTGAAGTGGACAATCTGAAAAGAGGAGATACGATTATCCGACCCCACGCGACTCTTTTTTATAGTACTACTAGATTTCTATAAAATTTTATAAAATTATATTTTTATAAAACCGAGCCGCGCGAGGCTCGCATAGTCGTATCTCCTCTCCCCAAATGGCCCATTTCTGTTTACAAGCTGAGGGACAATTGCAGAGAATTTACTTACTGCATTTCGCAGATGCGGATGCAAATGAGTTACGAAAAGACTTCCGGACGTCCTGCAAGGTACAAGTCTAACTCTGTCCCGACACCAATGGATTAGCCCGCGAGTAAAAGGCAGGCTGCGTTCTCTCACTTTATCGCGCACCGAAAGGGTTAAATTACCTCCCACCTGTTGCCGTGCGCTCCGTCCGCAATTCGAGCGTCCGCTATGTTCCCCGCGAACGTAAATAAGCGAGTATCACCGATAACGCGGACCGAGAGAATGAGACGAGAAGCAGCGAGAGAAAGAGAGAAGAAGAGAGAGAAGGAGAAAGAGGAAAAAGGAGTGAGAGAGAGAGGAGAAGAAAGAGAAAAAGGGAGTGAGAGAGAGAGAGAGAGGGGAGAAGAAAAATAAAAAAGGAGTGGGAAAGAGAGAAAGATAGAGAGAGAGAGAGAGAGTGGCGGAGGGGGCGGAGGGTAGAAGACACGGATGTAGCAAATATTCGGGCCCGCGACAGGGATATGTACGTATATATGTACGTACGGCGGTCGCTTCGGCTAAAAGAGCAACAGGGAAGCGGAGGAAATCGGTTTGGTCGAGGAGCACTGGCCGGAGAGGGTCCTAATTGCGGTAGCCGGTCCCCGGTTCCCACGGCGTATCCCCGGCTTACCGAAAAGTAACGCCGGTAATATCGCGCGGGACCCCTGTCTCGGGTTTTTTCCTCCGGGCGGTCACCGGCGCGGCGTTCCACGCTCTGGAAGGCTCGATAATTCATTCGAGGATCGGGCTAACGCGGGCGCAAGCGGGCCCAAGCGGCCGCGGGGACCGTGAGATCGTTTTCGCTGGCGCGGCACCGAGCCGAGAGCCGTTCGGCGCGGCTCTGCTCGGCGCGGTGCGGCGCGGCGCGGCGCGGCGTGGCGAGGCCTCTCTTCGGCCCGAATAACAGGAAGAAAAAGAGAAAGGTGCGCGCTGCAGCGGGAGCTGCAACGTGCAGAGTGACCCGGCATCTCCGGGGAGATGCCGATTCGTGCGAGGGTTTAAAAATACAAGACCGGCATTATTCGCCGGTCCGCCCACGCGTCCGCCGACGAAACTGCGCTCTCGCAACCGTGAGAAGAATTCGCTCGCGATCGAGAAACCTTCCCCTCCCTCGGGTCCCCCTTGCTGGCATCGCCAGCCCTCCAACCTCGTCGTCCTTCTCTTTTCTTTTCTCCTTACTCCGCTTCTCTCTCCTCGCTCCTCTCCTCTCCTCTCCTCTCCGCTTCGCTCCTCTTCGCTGCTCTGCTCTACGCCTCCTCCTCCTCCTCCTCCTCCTCCCTCTACGCCCCGTTTCTTCTCCCTTTTTCTCCCAAACCTGCCTCCGCACTCTTTTGCAACCTGCAACCGTAAGCGCGTACAGGGAAAGGGCCCGCCGAGCCGTCCGGGGCCCGAGAAACCTCTGGGAATCGTCGAAATAACCGGCCCGATCGTATCGCGCCCCGCGTATCCGGTTCTACTTGGAAATAACAAGTTACGTCAAAGATGGATTGCGGTTACGCCGATAATTATTCGGGGTTGCCGGTATCTCTGCCGGCCGATCGCGTCCCGCCGGGACCAGCCGAATCCTCCCCTGGGACCTCTTCACCTTTTTGCCTTCTTTCTCGCTGAATCGATCTGGTTCCATCCACGCCCCGCGCGGAGCTTTCGCGCCGAACGCCTGCGGCCTAGAGATGGAGGACTATCGATAATTGTCGGTGTCTTTCGCTAGCGAAAATGATCGAGAACTATCAAAAACTATCGACTAGTTTTTCTTGCCGTCGATAGTATCGATCGGGGTAGCCAATATATTCGAAGGCAATTTATAAATGAAATTTTCTACGTTTCTGTTCCATGTAATTTGATATATTTAAATATACGGGTGAACGTTCATTTTTATAACAAGAGAACGAAAACATGGCTTACTTTGAATGACAGAGAATCAATAAATTATCTGGATTATGTGGTAAAGATATATTTATTTAAATATATCCACTGTTTGTACGAGATTGAAAATATCTTACGGCCTTTGCCAGAGTTGTGCAAAAAATATTTTTACGTACCGATGTCTTGAGTAGAGTAGGAAAGAATATTTAGCAAAGCAGGATTAATAATATCCGACAGGCGGTCAAGGCTGAAGCGAAAAAATTGCGACAGCCTCAATTTTTAAAATAAAAACCAGCGGTTGTCGTCGTCACTTGAGAAGTCTATTGCTGTTATTTTTATTATATTGCATTTCGTTATTGCTTTTTTTATTATATTGCATTCCATTAGTGTGTTTTTATTATATCGTATTTTAATGTTGCATTTTTATTATACTGCGAAAATAATATAATATGAAACTTGTATATTTTTCAAACTATTTGGTGACTTCAAATTTTTGTGTCTCTGAGACTTTATATTATATGCTATGTATTTCACATGGTACTTCTAAAAATAGAGAACTATCGATAGTGCTATCTCGATAGTACTATTTCGATAGTTCTTGTAAACTATCAAGAAAAAAAATTTTTTAAGACTGAACTATTTACGTAAATTAGTTTTGTAAATATCGATAGGGCCGACTATCGATATTTCTCCAACTCTGATGCGGGGTGCAGCGATCTTCGCTCCGCGTGAACGGAAGGAGCTCGGACCGAGGGGTTGAAGTCGGACTCGAATCGGTCGCTGACCGTTCGATATCTTGATGAAACATTTTTTCAGCGACGTTTCGGCGAATCGAAGGATGCAGGAAACGAGCTGCTTCGATACGCCACGCGGGAGTAAACATCGCGATTGCTATATATATATATGTTGGCTTCCCCGTATCGTTTCTTTCTCTCTTTCTCTCCTCTCTCTCCCCTCTCTCTTTCTCTCCCTTTTTCTCTCACGTTCTCGCGATAAAGCTCTCGGTTCACGTGCACGAACCCGCGAGCGTCGCGACTCGCGACTCGCGGGATCGCTACGCAGAACCGTATTTTTACATCGAACGGAAACCGAACGTGCGCGCGGCTATTTTCGCTTGTTCCCGTCACGGCGACACTTTTATATTTCGTGTCTGCCCCGGCGTGGCCGACTTATAACGAGCAAATAATGCGGCCTGTATTTTTAGCGCGCCGGTGAAAGTTTTTCCATGATCGGGAAGCCTCGGGGACCAGCCGCGTCTAATGTATGTATTCGGCTCTCGAGCACGGTCTCGAGAATCTCGTTGCGTGCCGCCGCGGTTTTTCAATATTTGAATAGCGTCACGTTCCGGCTAATTAGGGGAATCACCGGCTACCGATCTGCCTACGGCGGTTATTACGTTGCTCGGAACATTCGTTGCGTCACGAATCTAGATTGCGAGCATGTTCCCGGCATCATCTGTTGCGCGGAAAATCGGCCGATTTTGAGTAGGAAAGTTGCAGGCGCGGTTGAAAATCGTAAAAAATTATGCTTTTACGGTAATAGACAGTATTTTAACACGTTCCGTGCCACGTGTACCATCCATGGTACACGCTTGCATGTTTACTTAGTGAACTGAACAAATTGTTTACAAGAAATTTAGAACCGAAGAATCAATTTCCACCGCAAGAATGGGCGTTGATAAGTTTTCGTTACGTTGTTATGTGTACGAGAATTAATAATTGCACGTAATTCATCAAGTTTTAGTAAAATATCAAAGTGTGAAGATTCGAGTAA